TGATCTTTACCAACTTTTGAATTATAAGTCACAATTTTACAGTTAATTTTTTTGTACAAAAATCTCTGTAATATAACACATTACTTATCCGCAGCGTGTCCCAAAATTAGCCTTTAAATACATTCACTGCGACTGCTCTTGAATGCTTTTTGTTTGATTTTCGCCTTTTGTTCTCCCCACATAATCGATGAGAAATGAAACGAGGCACGACCTTTTCGTGTAAAATTAATAATATGGCACAGGGTCTACTCTACCCTGAGCGATCAGAGCGTTGTCAAGTGCTGTGCGCTAAATGCGCGGCGGCGACCTCCCCAACGTTTTTTATTGAGGCATTTTTCATGACCCACAAAAACCAACGACGTCGAAGGCTCCAAGCCGAAAATAATATATAAAAATACTCGCTTATGGGGGGGCTTTCTTTTGTCTTGAGAAATTTCCAGAAACTTCAAAACAAACGCATGATGTCTTTATTATTATTGTTATTATTTGGGGTTCACTTTGGCCCCTTTCTTTGGCATATCATTTCTTTTGTGAGCCCCTCTTTGTTTGTCCGTGTGGCTCTTTCCACACGCTTCGATCGCGTTGTAAACAACTTACGCAAGCAAACCAAAAACCAAAGCAACAACAATTGTGTCGCTTATGTGACTTTACGTAAAGCCATCCAGAGGTGTCTGTGAATCACCTTTCCTATACCCCAAAACCGAAAGTAGGCCTACCCCTCCGCACTCTTTTCCTCTTTCTCCGCTTTGTGAGTGCAATGAACTTACTTAGCTGTCTCGTAAACAACAAGTTTGGCTTTCGGCTTTCGTTTATTATTTCCCCGTAATTCAGGAAGTCAGGCGCACAAATGCCCAAACAATAACAAGAAATCATAAACAATTTGAGTTTAGAAAGCAACTTGATACAAGGCACTTGGGATGGCACGGCGCAAAATGGGGCTAGCGTCGCGTCTTGTCGCAGTGAAAGTGAAACTTGTTAATTGGCTTTTAATTGCCGGCATTATTGTGAATGTCAATTATGACCAAAGCGATGCTATTGAACTGGTTTCCTCTCAAGCCACAGAAGAGTCTTATATAAGTTTTGCATTGTAAATGAGAGACGAGAAATTAATAAGTAAATTTCTTTAAATAAATAAATATAATAAAAAATGATATTGTAGATCGAAAACGTTTTAAAAAACAGTAGATATTGTTCAAACGTAATTGTATGAAAATGCATTAAATAACCGGCCTGTTATCACATCGCAATCGTTTAATTTTTGGGCCACCTTCGTCCCATTTAAATCCAGTTGTCTCTCCGTCTTTCCGCCTTTTTGTGTTTTCGGTCTTTAGCCCCAATCTTCGTGGGGCTATGGTTATGCAACCTTTATAGGCCTACCCAACACTGTTGACCAATCAACTTGCTTGCATTTCCACGGCACGCACTAAAATTTCTACCCGAAATAAAGAGCCAAACAACTTTCACTTTTACTTTCGTCGCATCGCCGGAATGATTATTAAATGTTGCCCGTTGTTGGTTACGTTTTTGTGGCCTCATTCGGGCGGCTAGGTTCATTGACCAGTGTGTTGGTGGGGTAAACCGAACCGACTCGATGACAAAGCCAGAGTTTGAATAAACAAACAATCTGGAACACTCACGGCAGTTTGCAGTGATCGGAGTGAGTCAGCTGTGGCAGCAGCAAAATCTGCATTTAAATGCAAACTCAATGCTTAACCCTCGACAGTCAGACGGGGCCAGTGGTGTCGTAAATTATCCACTCGAGCGTGAAGTCATCAACTTGATTTAACAATCTCATTACTGGCCTCAGCCTCCATCCTCCAGCCTAGATTTTCTACCTGTCAACGTGCCGTATGCGCAATGTTCAGCACACATCACTCATACGCACCGTGAAAAATGTCCTAGAGGAAAAAATTCAAATGACAAGTATGGCAAAAGCTTCCCGAAAGCTTGCGCAACTTAACACCAATTGCTCTTGCATGGTGAAAAGCTCTGCGAAGCTTAAGAGTTCTTAAGAGAGTCTGGTGCTCTTCTGTTCTCTCTTACGAGTTTATTGAACTTTTTTGAATTGATGAAGATGGTGATGGTGTCCAAGAAAAGAGAGATATAAGCGCCGATAAAGATAAAGCGCCCTTAAAAATAAAGAGCTGTGGCAAGCTTATCAAAAAAGCTTATCAGTGTTTGAACTTGCTTTGTCTGTGGGGTGGGTCATTGTCTCAATAAATTAAAAATAAATTACAGAATGTAAGTGTGCTAAAATGAAATATTATAGGGTTATAGGAAAAGAAAATGTAGACGTAAAGTCTCAAATTGAAGGTTTTTATGAAATAACTTTAATAATTTCGAATACAAGTCTTTTTTAATTCAAACTTTATTGCAGTATTCATTTTTTTATGTGTCTAGATTTTAATCAAAACAAATTACCGTAGATATTAAAAGAATTACATACCTTATCACTGACTCAGCTCTCTTATGATGGTTTGTTGCCCTGCACAAAAACAAAGGCTGCCCGTTGGACAAGAGCTTTTCCCGCTCTTAGGCCCGCTCTTTGACTCTCTTCCGTCCGCTCCGTTGGTCGTTGCCTCTGCGGCTTTTTGTGTGTTTTGTGCGGCGTTTCAGTTTTCTGCCTCTGTTTTGAAGCTCAGCCGTCGCAGTCGCCATCGCCGCAGTTGAGGTTCGCTCTCCTCTCCTCGATTCGCCCCATACGATAGCATAGCCATAGCCATACCTCTGGGTATATTCGTAACGCGCTTTGGCTTTTACAGTTAGTCGCGTTCGAGACCTTGTCGAGTTTTGTCATATTAGCCAGCGATCCTAGGGATCCGAAATAAGCCAAGAATAACGCGAGTGCCGCCGTTGCCCCAACTAACTTAACCATTATATTTAACGGGCAATTAAATATATGTTAATAATTTAATTAAACAAAATGCTGATCAATGCCAATGAATGTTAAATGTTAAATGCAATTGTTAATGTGAAGAAAAGTCGACCAAGTCTCCCCAAACACTCAACACCCACTACTCGTCTGTCTGGATTACGCGCCTAAAATTATTACAAACAACCAACCAAACAAACCAACACCAACCACTAATTTATTTGCTAAATATTCCAAAAATTCAATCAATGTGAAAAGCAAGCAAACAAAGTTCCTCTCACAACAAAACAGCAGTTAATTAAAAATATTTAACCGAGATTTAGTGCAAATAAGATAACAAGTTTCTCAAACAAATATCCATGTACCTGAGTACCAACCAAAAAGCTGTGTGTGTACCAAAAAACAAAGAAGAGTTATCCAAAAAAAAAAAATATTTAATGAGCGAGCTCAACTGAGTGGTTGATGTGTCCCCAAAGGGAAAATTGACCAAGTCAAGATATTTTGTCAAAATAAACCCCAAAAGCAAGCACATAAAACAGAAAAATGGGCGAAGAACTCCCGATATTGAAGGGCATACTCAAAGGCAACGTCAACTACCACAATGCGCGTAAGTTAACCGTTCCGTTCCGATCCGATCCAATCCGATCCGATCCGAAAGTTGCACAAAAGTTAGAAAGTGAAAGAGCCAAGCCAATTTCCCTAAGCCGCCTGACACAGATTTGGCTAGAAAAAGAGTTGAACAAAATTAAAATAACACCCAAGCTTTCGGTTTCCAAAAAAAATAAATAAAAAAAAAAAACTCCCAGAGAAATGCAGGCGTTCTGAGATTCTCCACTTTTGATTCGCTTTTTGTTTACTTTTTTTTTTCATTTTTTGTCGATGCCTCCCAATAAATAGCAACAGCAACAGCCAAAAGCGAGCGCCATTGAAGTGTTGACCTCGTTTATAAACATACAATAATTTTTTTCTTTGCCGCGGAAGAGCTTTAAACTTGAATCGAAACTGCTCCGAAGGCAGCGTTGCGTTGCGTTGTGTTGCTATTTTCTAAAAGAGCCAAAAAGAGCGGAGCAACAATATCGCATGTTTGACCAACTTTTTCAGTCTCTCCGCATGGGAAAGTTGGACGATGCGGCGCGTCGCTCTAATTTCTACGCGCAGTCCGCCGTTGCGCCTGCGCAGACTTCATTTTCCATTTCGTTTGACCTGAATTTCGCTGCGCGGCAAGTGGGTCACACTCTCTCGCTGGCTGCTGGAAAAAGCAGTGAAAAATCAGTAAAAGAGTTGCCGTCGCCGCTGTTTCACTTTTGCCACCGAGCCGGAGTGAAATTGTGCGAGTAGAAATTTCTTTTGACATTGAAAAGTTGGCCAAACATTTGTCAGATTTTGTTTGATGGTTGCAAATGGCAGAGTGGTTCATAAAAATGGGGTACAGTGGCTCTAAGTAATATGATATGTTTGTTAAATTAAATACTTTTAAAATATAAAACATACATTTTAATTTCCATAATTTTGCTCTTAAAATAAACTTTTAAAATATAAACTCAGTTTTTATAGTCAGTTTGAATATAAACTAAAATCCATTTGATCTGTTGTAAACCTTTTCTTCAATTAGCGCGCCCACTTTTCGACCTCTTTTCTGCACTCTCCTCTTTGTCTTATTCCTAGTGCGAAAAACGTGACCGCAAACGTGCCTGATTTTTTTTCCCCCTCGTTGGTGAAATGTGAAAGTTCACCCACATACAAATTTTTCGGTTGCGGCCAAAGACAGAAATTAAAAATCTAAAAAAAGAGAAAGTGTAACAGAGGAGAGAAGACCGAAGACTGAAGACTGAAGACTGAATACTGCAGACTGACAGATCGAAGAAGCTCAGAGGCAGAGGTAGAAAAAGTGGCAGCTGAGGCAATGACCCACTTCGAAGGGCAGTAAATTGCAGGGGGAAAACTGGGCACTTCCTGCGTGACAACAGGACAACTGCAACAGCTGTATTTTGCACCTGCTATCTGCGTGCAGTGAAGTGTGTAATTGATGGGGAACCATAATTTTATGCTCAAGTTTAAGTTTAAGCACCCATTTCGTTTACAAGGCCAAAAACTAACCGAAACTTCCGACGCTTCTTTGCCATTGCAGCTGTGCGTTTTGGACGCGTGCCGAAGCGCGAAAAGGCGCGTATCCTGGCGGCCATGCAGCAGAGCACCCAGAATCGCGGTCAGCAAAGAGCCCTAGCCACCGAGCTGGACGACCAGCCACGCCTCCTCGCCGCCGTGCTGCGCGCCCACCTCGAGACCTGCGAGTTCACCAAGGAGAAGGTCTCGGCGATGCGGCAGCGGGCGCGGGATTGCCCCTCCTACTCCATGCCCACACTTTTGGTAAGTTTTACTTGCAATTTATAACTAGTTATTAATATATGGGAATAGTTGGAAATGAGAACAATGGATACGTTATAAGAAACTATAAAGTTAGCCAGATAGTAGTAGTAATCCAATTTCATTAAATGCTTAAGTGAATAAATATTTCCGACTTTAAATGTGTGTTACAAAAAAAAGTAGCATTGAGTTACACATGCCAATTAAGAACGAACATATGTTGTAAACTTTTTACCAACACCATTTGGAGAAGTATCATAAATAACAACTGGCCATAAAATTATGAAAATGGCGGCAGCAGCAGCAGCAGCCCTATATCGTCTATCAGTAACAGACTATATTAATAGTCCGCCAAAGGTTACGGCGTAGGCGAAGTCACATTTCCGGGCCGCCGACTTCTGTTGACATGCATAGATCAGCGACAACAATAGCAATGGAAATAGCAATAGCAATAACAACAGTAGACTAGCTAGTCACTGCTTACTGCTCACTGGTTACTGCCTACTACTATACTGCCGGCGTTAGTCATGCGCCAAGGTGAACCTGTTTGCACGATTCTAAACCAGGAAATCGCGTTCGCCACACGTTCAAGTCTTCGGCGATTCTTGCGGGGCCTCCAAAACGTGGCCATTGAAGTGGCAAGTTTGGGGTCAAGTTCTTGACGAAAAGCTTGTCAATGTCAGATTTATGACGTTTCCCCTGACAGCCGAATGATGAACGGCTAGCCCTCGTTTATTTATTTTTCTAAATTCCATTTTCTGTTTGTTTTACAACCGACGTCATCGGGTTTTTTTTCTGGGGTCATAGGAAATTGATCGAGTTGTACTGAATAGAGGAAGTAATGATTTCGCACTGAAAACAATACTGTCAAAAAAACAATACAAACATTTCGCATACCATAACCAAAAGCGATAAAGAAAAGTGCTTTAAAAGAAAAAAAAATTAAAAACGAAAAAAAAACGTGTACCGGCTCTCGGCAACAACAAAGTACACAAACAAAGTTCTAAAGCTCAAGGTCAAGCGTAGCGTCATTATTAATGAAAGCATATTGCTATTGCGGGGGGGACAGAGAGAGAGGGATGGCACAGGATTAGAGAGAGATAGAGCTAGTGGGCCAGACACATGCGTTGCCCATTTAAATAAATTATTATAAAAATATTTAAAAGCAAACACGAGCGCAGACAAAAAAAAAAAAAAAAAAAAAAAAATGGGAAAAACAGCGCGACAAAGTCAGAGTCAAGTGCAAGGCTAAAAAAGTTAAAATTTGATTTGGTGATTCAAGAAGAAAGAAATCAAATGCGATCGGCAGTTCAAGAAGTGCCATAAAGCTTGCACACATAGACACACACACACACACACACATAGCGAGACATAGCGACACATAGAAGCTCGGCGACCAACGACCTTGGGGCGAGTTATTTTTCAACCTTGGAATGAATGAAATGAGCGGCTACGTCGGCACTTCCCTCTCTTTCTCTGTTTGCAGTTGATATTTCCACTATATATGAGTAAACAATAATAATGGCACTAAAAAATATGCATAAAACAAAATGTCATGAGCATGAGGAAGCGAATGCCAGACAAACGGCGTCACAAAATTGCAATATATTCTAGACAATATATATATATATTATACTACATATGTAGTATAGAGGGACAGCGAGAGCAATCTGTAAAATTGTCAGGTGGTTCATTAGGAAGCGTCGTAATGCGCGAAAGGCGGCAATTCAGTTTATGACGGAAGGCGGAAGATTCGTCGGCGGTGCAAGGTGAGGTTAAGTCGCCTTCACATTCACATTCGCATTCCCATTCGCATCGCACCGATCTCCGAATAGAAATGGCAAATTCCTTCTCTAGCCAAACGATTAGCCCTAGAGATTATTCAATCTCGCTGTCCATATCAGCCGGTACAAGAATTCTGGGAATTATTTTTGGCAAAAACACAACGCCACTAACGCCAATTGAAGGTCGGTTCGGATCTTGGGATACGGCCAGGAAATTCAAGGGGGGAGGAGAATCACCCAGTCATAAATAGACACCCCCCCCACATACACATTCACTCATTAGTATTTTCGCAAACTATTTCCGCTTTTGCGCAAATGAGAAATATTTTCGAAGCGAAAAATCAAATGATACGACGACGTCGAAGCGCCGGCAAAAAGAAAATTTGCTTGTGTGTTGGGGAAAATCTGCTTGCCGGTTGCCGGCTGCTATTTTCCCTCTCTCTTTTACGCGGGCCAATTTCATTCTATTGTATTTTTTTCTCACTTTTTTTTTTTTTATTTTGCACAAGTAAAACAGATTTTCAAGGTTAATCAGACGAAAATCGAAGCAGTTTTGGGGGGAGGGGACGATGGGTGGTGCTGAAAAGAGAATCAGCGGCAGACAGCACAACGTGTGCTTATTGAAACAGAACGAAACAAATGAAAAGCAAAAACACACATGAAATCAAACGTAAATTAAAAATCAAGTTGCTGAAAACAATGGTGGGTAGATGGACGATGGGCGGTGGGTGGTGGGTGGCAGAAGGGGCTGGCGCGGTGGCACGTTCGCTGTCTGGGGCACTTGGCGCATGTTCATGTAACTTAAAACCCGGAAAGCCAAATGGCGAAATAACATGAACATTCGCATTGGCTTAGACGCGAAGCAATTGCTCCCTCCTTTCCATCTAGCCATCTAGCCATATATCCCATCCACCCTTCTGCCGAGCACACGCGTCGAAAGCAGGAAAAAGAAAAACAACTATACAGTAACAGCACACAATCCGGAACCTTGAACTCTAGTTCGTCGACCTTGGCTGCTAATGTCAGCAGCAAAAGCTCTCGACTACGCGGGATAGTTTGGTTTTTGGGGTGGGGAAAGCGGGAGCAGCCCCCAGAAACTAATACCAGAAAAACTAACACCCAGCTGACGTAGTCGAAGCTTTCCCCCCACGTTCTTTCCTTCTCTATTTCTCTATTTCACTGTTTTTTTTTTATGTAGAAAAGCTTCCAGCGGTGTTTAAGGAAATGCGACATTTGTAGAGGGAGACGGCAGATAGCTGGTGTGGTGGGCGTGCGGAAGTACAAATAGTTATTATTATTGATTTAAATGAGTGGGCCAAGAGGGGAGGGGGGGGAGGTTCGCTGACCTTCGCGTGTGAAATAAGCGATGACGTGATGTGGGGTGCGGGGAAAAACAAGCCAAGCAACAGTTACAGGAAAAGTTGACTATTCATACTGACACAAAACAACTTTTACGACAGTTACTGAATGTATTCTTATAAAATATACCAAAGGTCTTACAAAAATACTAGATATATATAGTATATAATACCAAATATTGCTATTTAAGTTTTGTATTATGTTAGAGCACCCCTTTTTTAACCACTTACCTCTTATTTTTCTATCATTGCAGGCCTGTCCATTGAACCCCGCCCCTGAGCTGCAATCGGAGCAGGAGTTCTCGCAGCGTTTCGCCCACGTGATTCGCGGCGTGATCGACTTTGCCGGCATGATTCCCGGCTTCCAGCTGCTCACCCAGGACGACAAGTTCACGCTCCTGAAGGCCGGACTCTTCGATGCACTGTTTGTGCGCCTGATCTGCATGTTTGACTCCTCGATCAACTCGATCATTTGCCTCAATGGCCAGGTGATGCGACGGGATGCGATCCAGAATGGCGCCAATGCCCGCTTCCTGGTGGACTCCACCTTTAACTTTGCGGAGCGCATGAACTCGATGAATCTGACGGACGCCGAGATCGGTCTATTCTGCGCCATTGTGCTAATCACACCGGATCGCCCCGGTCTGCGCAACTTGGAGCTGATCGAGAAGATGTACTCGCGCCTCAAGGGCTGCCTGCAGTACATTGTGGCCCAGAACAGGCCCGATCAGCCCGAGTTCCTCGCCAAGTTGCTGGAAACGATGCCCGATTTGCGCACCCTGAGCACCCTGCACACCGAGAAGCTGGTCGTATTCCGCACCGAGCACAAGGAACTGCTGCGCCAGCAGATGTGGTCCATGGAGGACGGCAACAACAGCGATGGCCAGCAGAATAAGTCGCCCTCGGGCAGCTGGGCGGATGCCATGGACGTGGAGGCGGCCAAGAGTCCGCTGGGCTCGGTGTCGAGCAGTGAATCGGCCGACCTGGACTATGGCAGTCCGAGTAGCTCGCAGCCGCAGGGCGTGTCCCTGCCCTCGCCGCCGCAGCAACAGCCCTCGGCCCTGGCCAGTTCGGCTCCCCTGCTGGCGGCCACCCTCTCCGGTGGATGCCCACTGAGGAACCGGGCCAATTCCGGTTCCAGCGGTGACTCTGGCGCTGCCGACATGGACATTGTCGGCTCGCATGCACATCTCACCCAGAATGGGCTGACAATTACGCCGATTGTGCGACACCACCAGCAGCAGCAACACCAGCAACATCAGCACCAACAGCAACAGCAGCAGCAGCAACACCACCCGCAGCAGCAACAGCAACAGCAGCAGATGCACCACCAGCAGCACCCACAATTGCACCACCATTTGACAGCCGGAGCAGCCCGCTACAGGAAGCTGGACTCGCCCACGGATTCGGGCATTGAGTCGGGCAACGAGAAGAACGAATGCAAGGCGGTAAGCTCGGGCGGCAGCTCCTCGTGCTCCAGTCCGCGGTCCAGTGTGGACGACGCGCTGGACTGCAGCGATGCGTCCGGCGGCAATCAGGCCCAGATGGTGCAACATCCCCAGCTGAGTGTGGTGGCTGTGTCGCCGGTCCGCTCGCCCCAGCCCTCGAGCAGCGGCCATCTGAAGCGGCAGATTGTGGAGGATATGCCGGTGCTGAAGCGTGTGCTGCAGGCGCCGCCACTGTACGACACCAACTCGCTGATGGACGAGGCCTACAAGCCGCACAAGAAGTTCCGCGCCCTGAGGCATCGCGAATTCGAGACCGCCGAGGCCGATGCCAGCAGTTCCACCTCCGGTTCGAATAGCCTGAGTGCCGGCAGTCCGCGCCAGAGTCCCACGCCCAACAGCGTGGCCACGCCGCCGCCGCCGCCGTCAACCTCGGTGATCGGCGCTGGCGCTGCGGCCGGCGGACTGGGAAATCCCGCCCAGAGCCAACTGCACATGCACCTGACGCGCAGCAGTCCCAAGGCCTCGATGGCCAGCTCGCACTCGGTGCTGGCCAAATCGCTGATGGCCGAGCCGCGCATGACGCCCGAGCAGATGAAGCGCAGCGACATCATCCAGAACTACTTGAAGCGCGAGAACAGCACGGCGGCCAGCAGCACCACCAACGGAGTGGGCAACCGCAGTCCCAGCAGCAGCTCGACGCCCCCGCCGACGGTGGGCCAGACGCCGGCGCAGCAGCGTTGGGGCAGTAGCTCGGTGATCACCACCACCTGCCAACAGCGCCAGCAGTCCGTCTCGCCGCACAGCAACGGCAGCAGCTCCAGTTCGAGCTCCAGCTCCAGCTCCAGTTCGTCCTCCTCCTCCACATCCTCCAACTGCAGCTCCAGTTCGGCCGGCAGCTGCCAGTATTTCCAGTCGCCGCACTCGACGAGCAACGGCACCGGTGCACCGGCCAGCTCCAGTTCGGCATCGAACGGAGCGGCCACTCCGCTGCTGGAGCTGCAGGTGGACATCGCCGACTCGGCGCAGCCGCTCAATCTGTCCAAGAAATCGCCCACGCCGCCGCCCAGCAAGCTGCACGCCCTGGTGGCAGCCGCCAATGCCGTTCAGCGGTATCCCACACTGTCCGCCGATGTGACGGTGACCGCCTCGAATGGACCGCCGTCGGCGGCGGCGAGTCCGGCGCCCAGCAGCAGTCCGCCGGTGAGTGTGGGCTCCGGTTCGGGATCCCGATCACCCAATCCGGTACTCACCACCGCCGTGCACAAGGTCAAGCTGGAGGCGTAAGAGCAAGTGGGAGTGGCAGTGGGAGTGGGAAAGGGAGAAGTGCGAGAGACAGAGACTGGGAGTGGCAGTTCAGCGAAGGCAAAGGTGAAGGCGAAGGCGAAGGAAGCAGGAGTTGAATTAAATTATTTTACATTTTAATTGAGCCGTGTACAAAGTTTCAAAGCAAAACCAACATGCATGCAATTTAAAAAAAAAAACTAATATTTAAAGCAACAACAAACAAAACAACTACAAGTTATTAATTTAAAACAAAACAAAAAACAAAACAAAACAAACAAACAAACAAATAAAACCCAAGCTTGAATGGTATTACAAAAGAAAAAGAAAAACAGAAAAAAACATAAATATATTTTAGCAGTTAAACTTTAACGTAGCCAGCAACCAACACAAAAACAAAACAAGGCAGCGCTCTGATTTTGCATTGACTTTTCTTCAGCTGCTACCCACAATGCCCCCTCACCATCAAACACCCACCACCCCCCAAACCCCAAACCCCAAACCCCCTGTCTATCGGCCCCTGATTGTTTTATAAGTTTTAAGCACTTGTTGTACATATTAATTACGTTTATGAGTAAACTATGTTTAGCGCTTTAGTTGTAGGTGGAGCAAAACTACTTTGCTATTTTGAATGTTTTTTGAAAAAACTGCAAATTATTATTATTAAATTTTTAAAATACCTAAAAAACAAAAACAATGTGTGTGAAATTTTTTAATGTGCGATCTCCGAGCAGAATTGAAGTGCAGTTTGCAACAAATTTTAACTACGATTAAGTTGATAACGATTCATTTTTTATGAATTTAACTAATTTTATGAATTTGTTATAGTTTTCCACCCTTCTACGATATCATCGATTTTTCTGTCTGTCTATCTAGCTATCTAGCTCTAACTATTCCTCATTTCTCCTTTGGCACAAAGCTCTTCTCTATGCTAAAGAATCAAGTGGAATAAATATTGTTTTCTAATTTTAAAACTACCAGAAGAAATACAATTAAAATAAACATGAAATGAATGAAAATCAAACAAAATGCTTCAAGTTTTAGCAGCAAGCAGTAAGACGATAATGAAGCAGAGAAACCCAACGTTAAATATATCTGTTGTGTACATAGTTAAATGTTAAATTAAACACAAAAACATATTTAAAGTACATATAAATACACATAATTATTAATGAAGAAACCTATGCTTAAAAGATTCAATGTTTGATTGGCATCTTAGAAAACCAAGCAAAAAATACAAAAAAAAAAAACAAACAGAAATTATGATATATTATTTAAACGTAAAGTATACATTTATATTACAGAAAAAAAACAAAAGAGAAAACTTGCGGTAGCAACAAAACTATTATATTAATTACACTTTAATTATGCTGTACTATTATGATTATTAATTATTATTATTAATTAATTACGATTTTTATGCTTAGACAAACCAACAACAAAAAACAAAGATGCAAAAACAACAAAAAAAAAAACAAAAAACAAACAAAAAATTACACTGGCGCAGAAATTTGTATTGTCAATCAATAAAAAATTTGTTTAAAAATTTCCAAAAAAAAACCTCTTAAGTTTTTTTATTTCAACTTTTTTTCAGTTCAGCTGTTTTTACAATTTTCAGTTTTCGGTTACTTTGCTTTGGAATGGTAAGATTTATAGTTTCAGTTGATTAATTTTTTTCCTTATTGACTACCGTGCTGTAAAAAATACTCACAAAAGTATATCTAAAATATTTATATCAGAATTAAATCAACAACAATTTTATGTGTATAAATGAGCAACAAGGAAAATGTGTAAAAACAAAAGAGTCCTCAGCGCTGGCAGAGGAAATTCGAAGAGGAGCGAAAATCTACAAGAAATATTATATTCTTTTAAGATTTATGCAGCGTAAGGAAGCGTTGGTTCCACCAAAAACCACGAAAATTAACAAAGATATCACACTTCAATAATTGACTCTATATATACACACATCCATATGTACGTAGTGAAACGATTTTTGTGTCTGTGTGTATGTATTTAGGTGTATGTACCATTGTCCGTAACTTTTAGCCAGAAAAACAACAACCAAATATTGTAATTGTATAACTACAACTGAATATTTTATGTAAAAACTATCTCAGCATTGAGCGATGATGAAGATGGGTGTTTATGGTGGTCATACTGATGATGATGATGATGGTGATGGATTCTGATAGGGATATCCAACCGAACGACGGCAGCGACAACTGAAACAATGAAATTGCGACAATTAAGCGTAACGTAACGTAAAGTATATGTAAAACGTATCCGTAAACAGCCGTAAGAGTTTAACGTAACGTAATAGCAACTAAAACATTGAAAAGAATAATGCAACTTTGAAGCAACTCCAGCTGAGGCATATGAAATAACGTATAAATAATATCTATTATTATATATATACACACATGAATATATTTTCAAGGACAGTCACAATTAAAATTGCGGCGAAAAAGAGTTTTTAAACAAGAGAATTTGGCAAATATGGTAAAAAAAAATGTGAAAATTGAGACAGCGAGAAAACGCGGAAAAAAGCGTTCAAATGTTCTGAAAATTGAATAAATCTCCATAAAAAATAAAAAAAAATTAAGAGCAAAAATTTGTATTTGTGAAATAACATAATATTACAGTTTGTTTTAAATGGAAACACAATGAAAAACCCCCCAGAATGGAATATGTGAATAAAATATTGAAAATAAGTATTTAAAATATATCAACAAAAATTATGAAAAAAAATCGCATGTGTTTTTATTTGGAAAAGCTTTCACTGAATTTCAGGAATTTGGGAAAGAAGAATGGATATATATATATATTATTTTCACATGCACAATACTTAATTATATACAGATTTTTAAAGAATATTTAATATTTGATTTGATTTTTTCGTACCTGGAATAAAATTAATAATACTTTTGATACCATTCATACATGATTGAAACCAAAACAATTGAACTTCTCTTTGGGTGTAGACGTCCCTTTTGGTATCACCCATTCTAAATAACCGTTGGAATCACTCCGCGCTTCTGCCTCGCCCCTTCTGGCGATCGTACGCCCCTACATTTATAGGCGCCCAGAGCTTATCACACACACATTCGACTTTTTGCGGTTGCTGCTTCTTCTTTCGCCCCGAGAATAGCGATTGTTTTCAATGTCGCGCCTGTCTGTCCTAAGCTTTTGTTGGTTTTGGGCGTGTGTGTGTTTTGGAATTTTGCCCGTGACCTTGAGGCGATAAGAGTCGCGAAATGAATTTGCCGAAATAATCAAATCAACTTTATTGTAGTGGAAGGGGCGGCCATGCGGTGGGTGGTCCTAGCTGGTTAAAGTGTCTGGCCAGCGTGAGTGCCGCGTGTAGATAACAATAGTCGATCCCGGCGATAGGCAGACACTCATCCCACACACCCTTCACCACCCACTGCCCACCGCCCACTGCTCAGAAAAAAACACCGATAAGAGCAGCTAAAACGTGTGAGGGTATTCTAATTTTAAGTGTGCAAGAGAGAGAGAGAGAGAGCCACTTGTACACATACACATGCTTCGTTATCTTCAAAGTCAATGTCAAAGCCAAGTGAGATGAGGTGGAAAAGGGGAGGTGGCGAGACAGAGGCGGAATTGGAATCAGAAAAAGAAATAGAAACTGAAAGAGAGCAACAAATTAAATTAGTGTGGGCACGGTGGCGTATGAGTAACGAGTGACAGGCGACAAGTGACAAGCAGGAAATGCAGCAGTGTACTGCATTTTGGGGGTGGGGTCGAGAAGGGGTGTGTTACCAGGGAATAAATCAATGGAATCTCTTCTTCTTCTTCACTGATCTGACATTCAAATGGTTGATATATGTATTGCTAATTTTTTTTTTTTTGCCAAAAAAGTGTTTTCGACTATGGGGATCCTAATGTAATAGATGTTAATATAAAAAAATATGTTTTAAAAAATGATTAACAAAAATTCCAAAAAAAAGGATACTTCCAGTACATACAAACTATTAGAATAAGGGCAATAAATTTAAGTACTATTAAGATAAATAGTATTGTTCATGGAAGAAGTATAGGGTGAATCCAATTCGATGCCCTTCCTCTTGAATCATCCACCTTTTGCCTTATATTTTTGGCAATTTTCTTTCGATATTTTTTTCGGCAATTTTTATTTGCGCATATTTCACCTTGAAATAAAACAAGCCTCAAATAAATTAAGGCACAAACAACAACGGCAATAACAACTCGCGCGTTGAAGAAGCAGCGGCAGAGAGCAAATTCCAACAAAGGCAAAAAAAAAAAAAAACGAAAAGAATAAAACGAGAATAAATACACCCGCGGGAAGGTGGCGGGGAATAAAACAAATATTCAAGGTTAGCTGATTAGACGAAATTAGCAAAGTTCTAGCAGATGATTGAATTGGGGGAAAGAGACGGCGGCTTTGAAGGGAGTGGGAAGGAGAGGGGGGCAACGCCTGATGAGAGCACGCGCTGAAATAAAAAACTCACGCAACGCGTTTGGCCGGTGCGTGTGGGGAGCTCCGCCCCCTTCCGCTCCCCGTACCGCTTCCACGCACCCCCCCTGCCCGACGGACTGCACGCGTGCGTACGCATGTGATTGGTATCCCTATCCCTCTCCCGCTCGACAGAACCAACTCCATCTCTTTCTACATAACAACCATTGTCGTCAGCGTGGGCCTTTGGTTTTAGACTTTTTTCGGCTATTAATGCCGAGTGCTGATACTCGTTCTATACTATAACGTCGGGTATATAGGGTCCTACCTAAAGGTACTCCATTCACGTAAACAAAATTGAGATACTACCTTAAGCACAAAGCACATGAATGATATAAGAAAAACAATATATTGATTTATATAATATTATTTGCTTTTTGCCAGTTAAAAATTCTGGTTAAATATGGTTAAAATTTTAATATTGTTTTGAATATTGTCTTCTATATGAAAAGTATTTCAAAAACATAGAATATTAAGGAAAGAATAATTTGAAAGCTACTTTGGCTTTAACATTTAGGGTATTAAAAGGTTTATTCGCTTAACTGCTATCTACGCACTTTTACGCGTTTTTCGTTTTTTTTTTTTTTGGCGCTAAGCCTTTGCTGATACATTCCCGTGGGGGCAATAGGAGCGCCTGTGTGGGACAGGGATGGCAAGTCGATCACACCAAATAAATAGACTAAATAGACTAGCAAAAATTCCCGCCAACGAATTTCGATGGCAAATGTATAGAAAATTTTGCGCAGCATATAATAAATTTCATTTATGTGCCGCGTGCTCAGCACCACACCCCCTTCCCCACGGATCGCCCCTAATGGTTATACATTTTATTTGGAATTATGCGCGAGTTGTCCTTGAGGGGCCAGCCTGTGAACTTGCCAGGGGTTTTTGTTCGTGTTTGCTTTGACTGGGCTCAGAGTCGGTAAATATGGCGATTTATGTATTCCCCAGCCTGGCGACAGTGTGTATTTCGCAGCGAAAGGTTCATAGATTTGAGTGCGTGGAATCGATTCGGGAAGTGGGGTAATTTAATAGATAAATTTTATAGTTACGCACGTTGGCAGCCACTTTTTTGTGGGCAGAAACATGAAACCACAACTTATGCTGTTGGCAGTTTAAATCGCAAAGTTCATTCACATTTCATGGCTCGTTAAATGTCGATATATTGCTATCTCGGGTATCTTTACACCCTGATAGTTTAATACTTTACATCGACCAGCCGGCTATATAAAAACTGAAAATTAGAAGGAGTAATATTTTTAATAGATTTGAGTTAGTTCTAAAATACTATTATTACCGAAATAAATAAATATAAGGAAATCAATCAAAATCCACATTTTAACAGACTTCCTTGGAATTCGGACTAGTTGTTTTCTTAACATTTCCAGTTTAATGTCGTAAATAACAATTTGAAAATAAATCAAATTGGATTTTATTTGCAAAGCCAAATAACAACAATGATGAAATATACCGTAAAAGAATAAACATACGTTTACAGCTAAAAAAGAAAAGAAGAAGAAGAAGAGTGAGTATGGCAAACACACGGATGGGAATACAATGGCAAAACGACAGCGGCGAAATACACTCGAAAATATAAACACAACAGCAAAATGCGCTTGACATTGAACTTGAACTGCAGTCGACGGCCTGCAGTCGGCGTCGGCGTCGACGCTGACGTCGGCAGAGCTGATAGCAGCCGTCTGCTAGTGGGTGGGAGGGAGAGAGAGAGAGAGCGGGCGGGCGCCAATGTCAAATGCAGCTGGCGAACGAACTCGGGCGTATACTTAATATTAAGAGAAGAGGACGAGGGGCAGCGCAGCGTCACCGACGTCAGCAACAACAATGGCACTCGTGTAAACCATAATTGAAATTACAAACACAAATTGCCAGGAAAGCGGGACAGAGAATGACCAGACAAGCAAAGAGAGAAAGAGAGAGACCAACATCGGTGGCGTATGAGTAATTTGCGTTCCTTATAAACTGATTCACAGGGACTGAATTAAAAGTATGAAATATATTTAGTTGACCTTAAAATATCATGCGGTTGTTCAGATCAGAGTCATTC